TTTGACATCAAGATAACAGGTTTTGGTTCAACTCTACTCTTCCCCCTGCCTGCCATCCTGGCAGCCGTGTCCCATGTACACACTCCCAGTCATAACCCCCTTCCTCTATCCCCCGTGAGCCCAGGGGAGTCTCTGGCTGCTCGTCTGCAGGGCTCCCTCCTCGTTTCCAGCCAGTGCTATTAGCCCTTCACCCTCTCAAGCATAAAATTGTTTGTTGTAGCTCATGAGTCACAAGGAATTTTAGAGAAAGAGAAAACAATGGAAACAATGGGAGTCCTGGGAATAGTTTTTGGTTGTACAAACTGTCTTCGTATCAGCTTAAGCCGGCACCTCCGTGGGTGCAGCTCTTGGCTGCCGAGCCCTGATCCCCTCTGGCCCGCCCAGACCTATTCCCTGCCGTTATATCACGTTTTTCCAGCCTTTTCCAAAACGAGGTGAGCAGTGATATTCGGTAGCAAGACTCCGAAACATGGCAATGCCTGGTGGGTGTTTGTAAGCAGCGATATTATCTGCCTGTGGGGAAAAAAAGCACTCAACTCACATGTTCATCTTGGAGTCAGGCTGCTATCTCTTCATCTAGTCTTGTTTCCTCTCAAAATGCTGAATGTTAAAGATTCAATGAACAACAGAATTTAAAATAGGAACAAGAAGCATTTTTGTCTGGCCCTTCTCAGCATCCAGAAGACAATGGTATTAATCTGTTATCCCCAGGCCGGCTTGGGAAAAGTGACAAAGCCACTGCAGTCAAACCTTTCAACAGAGATGGATTTTCTCCTCATCCAGCCCAGTAAAAACATGTCCAGTCTCGCTTGGCTATACTCACAAAAGCCCTTCTTCAAGCATGGAGAGCTCAGGGACTAAATTCACATTGCACTGGACCATTATATACCTAACGCAGGGAAAAACCTGAGATCTAATCCACTAAGAAATTACTTCTTAGAAGGGAAGCAATGAGGATGTTTGTTAAAAGGGTTAAATCCTTGTAAGGAGATATAAAAAGACATCTTTCAAAACACGGAAGTAATATCTAAACAAGGCGAGCAGAAAATAACGTAAATTGTATAAATTTGTGGTTTCCCCTTCATCTTAAACCCTGCCTGCAGCTGTGGTCCCCTTGCCTCCAGAAGGCCTGGAGAGAAAGAGAAGGGCAATGAGGATGTATAAGGAGATCAGCAGCTCTCGCAGAGGAGAGTCGAGACTGCACTGGGCTCTTCAGCTCAGAAAAGGGGTGGCTGGAGGGGCAGCAGGCAGGTGGCTTGCACAAAAAAGCAGGTGTTTTTTTCCCCCCTCACAAGATATTCTAGCAGTGCAACTCACTGCAGAGTAGTGGTTTGGATCTCGAACAATTCAGGAGCTAATGACTAACACACCGGCTACGGCAGTGACTCAGGCAGCATCCAAGGGAGTCCCCAGGCCGCTGATGGCTGGGAGCTGGCGGATTGAACCAGTGACGATCACCATGCACTTGCCTTGCTCTTACATTTTCTCCTTAGACACCGACAACTGTTCCCTGTCAGAAACAGGGGCGAAGGCTTGATGACTGCAGTTTAACCAGCAAGGCTTGCAATCCTATCCCCAGCAGCCCCATAGCCGCAGGCAGGACTGCACTGATGAGCCACTAAAAGACGCAGAAATCCGTCCTTCAGGCACATCTTATGCCCGGTGCAGCTTCAGCATGCAAGACAGGGAGGATTCAAGCGAGCATCCCCCTCCCTGACCAGCATCTCCTCGCAGAGCTCCAGAGACAGGTACCGGCCACCACACTCCGTTTCAGGCCAGCTTCAGAAAAACACGAGCTCTAACGAGATTAATTAAAATGACTAGATTGGTTGACTGCTGTCACTGCAGATACAAGAACCTGCTGCCAGCTGCCCGCATCCATCCCCTGCCTACGGGCGAGGGCAGGGCAGGAGAACCATGCCCGTGCCCAGGGCGCTGTCGACATCACGCCGGGCTCTGCCCTGAGGTCTCTGCAGCCCAGAGGCAGGAGATGGAGGGCTGGTGCCTGGAACACATCAGGAAAGAGCCCGGGCAGAGCCTCGTGACAGGCACAGATAAATATAATCACCCTCCCTGGCAATGGCCCCCTTCACGGATGTTTACAAACAGCTCAGTACTTTTCCATGTTAAGAAGCTTGTTTTTCCAGATGCCTTGTATCGGGTGGTTTTTAATGTGTATAGTTAATCCCTTCTCACAGAGTCTTTCATAATAAACATCACCCCCTGACCTAGCTAATAACTACGTAACACTAATGCTTTTGATTTTTTTTTATCTCCTGCTCGGGTTGTCAGGGGGAATGCAGGCAGCAGCTTGCAGGGAAACGTGGACATGACTTTGAGTGGGGCAGGAGAGCTTGTTTCCCCTGGTACACAACCCCCCCAGCCTATTCTCCAGCACTGTCACCCCACGGGACATGCCCAGATGCCCTGTACCTGGACAGCAGCTCTGTGCTTGATAAAGCTACAAGCCATGGGTAAACCTGGAGGCTGAGTTACTGCTTGAAAAGTCTTCTCCAGCCCCAAAATGTCTGAGGTAGACTGCCCAGAGGGGCTCAACACCTGATAATATATTCATCATGCGGTCTCCCTGTTACCCTCCTGCAGTTTCCATCCTAACTGGGACAGCAAAGAGAAAGGTACTTCACGATTTCACGTGAAGCAGTTTGACAGTGGTGTGGTTTATGTCTTACACCTCCAGTGGAACACAGTGCCCATCCCGGTCTGTGCCTGAAATCCCACACAGCTCCTGCGAGAAACCCTCTAGGATGTGCCAAACACTGCAGCATTTCCAATGATGGGGCAGCAGATCCAGAGCGTGGACTAGACAGGTTCATGGGTGCTTCCAGTACGAGCAGAAGTTGGGTGACTGGCGGAAAAGTTCAGAAGATGCTGCAGTAGAAGAAATCCATAAACCAGCGCTCACCGGAGTGACCTCCAAACCATCACCATGCACTGCTGCGGTCCAGACCTGCCATGGGGCAATGTTATGTCCAACCCCCGGGACAGTCCATGCTCCCCTGACCCCCGGGTTTCACCTGGAGCTGGGTTCAAGCAGATCCGGATGCCAGCAGCCACAGGGGAGATGCAGGGTAAGGGGAGATGAGATCTGGACTGGTCCCATCTGCTCAGGTTCCCACCAATCTTTTGTAAAAGATGGTTTGTCAGCTTGAGCACCCTGGCCAAACTCCAACTTGAGTAATCACACATAGCCTCTTTGAATTTCCATGGCGTTTCAGTTCAGACATGCCACACGGGTTCGCTTTCTGCCCCAACTGTTGCTAAGCTGGGCACTGTTAAGCTTTTGCTCCAATTTATTTGTTTCAGAGCTACATTTCCCTGAAAGCCATCCTCTGGGCATAACAGAACATGAAGCAGAGGGATGAGCCGGGCCCCACATCTGACACCTCTCTGGGTGCTGCGGACTAAGATCCAGTTTTCACTCCAGCTGTTGTACAGCAGCAAAACTTGCATCTGGGTCTGAACATCCTTCATGAAGTGCAGAAGCATTTTCACTTGGAGTCTTGGACTTAGATCCAGTAACTTCAGTAGCAGCCAGTAAACTCTTAGCTGGCTGATAAAGCTAATTCACATCAAAGACAAAAGCGTGTCTGTACCAGTGATCCAGGAAAAGACCTCCCGACGCAGGCTCTTTTTGGGGAGGATTTTACTGGGCAGCAGCAGGGTGGCACAGGTGGCACTGCCGGTGACACACAAGTCACATCCTCGAGCATCCAATCAGGTGTAACGCTGGGCATCTCCGCAGGACTCCTGAAGGCTAATGTGATGCCCTTATGGACACGCTGGGCAGTTATATCAGAGAGGGGTAACGGTGTCCCAGGAGGAGAAGATGCCCTAAATGCTTCACTTTTTCAATGGGGGATTCAGGTCACAGAATACACCCCCTCACCCATTTCAAGAGACACATCTATAATCAAAAGGATGACATTACCAGCCCTAATGCATAACTTCCCGACAGCGTTGTCAGCCAGTGACATCTGCACCCTTGGTTCTCTCCTCTCTGAAGTGTCTCCAATTACCTCAGCTGGTAATAACAGCTTTTCAGCCCCGATCTCTCCCAAAGACACAAACAACTCAGACTTTTGAAGTCTCTGTCCACTGCCAACACATTAGATACATCAGTGCAAATCTGTCACAGCAATGAGAACTAAGTGCAGCTGTAATTCAGGCAGTGACCACAGGAAAACCTCAAAATCTCTACACAGCTTGAAGCAAAGGGAGGATGTCAGAGAGGTTTGTGCTTACAGAGCCACAGGCTCATGAGAGGCATACGTGAGGGCTTGGGATGGAGTTGGCATTAGCCACGCCAGCTTCACCTGCTTCTAAACTTAGCTCTGCTTGACCCCGGTCCAGAGGACAGGGAATGTGAGAACAATGGTCCTCTGGCTTTGCTCACGCTGCTCTTGAAGCGAAGATGACCACCGCTAAACACTGCAGTTGCTACAACAGCAGCTCACGGCCTAGTATAGTTTCCATGTCCCGTGGAAATGGATCTGAGGCACATGAGGGAAAACAAGGGATAGCATTGTCCCTTCCAGCACTGTCCTGGGGACACGCAGCTACTACTGCCCCGGTCCCAGACCCAGCAGAGCTGGCAGAGGCAACCTGGGCAATGCCTCCGGGGTGGGCAGCACTGCCTGTAGCAGCCAGGAGTGAGGGAAACCCTGCAGCAAGGTCAAACACCATCGGCCTGGGCTTAATGCCCTTGAGCCCCGTGACAGGAAGAAACCAACACAACATAATCTCTCGCTCAGCTGTGCTGTCTCTCATTTCACTGCTCTCCGCACCTCCCACTTCTTCACCGGGAGGAGCTTGTGTGGCACCAAGCCACCCTCCCCTGGCATAAGTGCTGACCTGTGCCACTAACGAAGGAGCAACCTCTGCCCAGAGCCAGCTGTGGGCACGCTGGTTGCCACCACATCTGGGCAAGTATGGCCCCAGAGGAAAATTCTCCTTTGGCAAAAGCCTAAAAACTCACATACCTCAGAGGGTTTCTTCTCCTTCTGCCGTGACCAGGTGGATTTGGTATTCGGAATTTTGGAGCATCTGGAGGCAGATGTGGTGTGACCTGCAACAAAGCAAGAGAGACAGGTTACCAGGAAAAGTGGCGAAATTTTGTCCTTATCTTTGTCACCAGTCCCACTGCCGCTACTACAGCCTCAACGAACACCGTGGGTCAACGCTAAGAGGTGGTAATACCTTGAAATGGCATTATTTTTGTGCGCAGCCTGGAGTACTTCACTAAAATAGATTAACATCCCTTTCCTGCTGCTAAAGACGATGAAACAGAGACCTCTGAAAGAAAAAAGCACTGTTGTCAAATGCAGACATCAGAATTGCAAACCCAAAGTAATGAGTAAGAATGGCTGCTAAGAGCCAGGGCTAGCACTCCTAGAATCAGGGATCTACTGGAATCAGGATTTAAGGTGATAACATTTTTCTAATAAAGATGTTTAAAGATAAGCACCTGAACTGCTTGAGGACTTCAGACTCCATAGTCAAAAATACTGACCAAACTGGGTGAAACTCCTCTGCCATTGCCAGGAGTAGTAACTCCCACGTCTGTGAGCAGTTCAGCATCTAGTGGGAACCCCCCAACAGGACACACCGAGCAAGTGCACTTTACACTTTTCGGTAGTAAAAGCATATTTGCTTTGGGATTACTTTACTCTGGGAGTCTTACGGATGGACTCTCATCATCTTGCCTGGAGCAGCAACATCACCACCGCTACCACCTCCACAAGGCAAAGGCAGCTAAAACCTGAAATGTGCTGGGACCATCATATTATTAATCTTCATTTCCAAGTCATATGTGCTACAATTATTTAAAAAAAAATCCCATCTATATTTGGCAATGATAAATAATAAACTAATCATCGGAATCTTTTTATGTTAATGATGACAGCTGGGTCTTCTGTATGCAGGCCCTCCCCACTGTACATTTTGTGGGGGTGCACCAAATGAACTATCAATAGGACTATTTAATACTGATTTTATCCTTGGACGGCTGAATAGGAAGAAACAACACTGCGCACACACACAACTGCCAAACTCAATGGAGCCATGCACACAAGGACTTCAGGAGGGCTCTGGCCAGGAGCTGAGCTGGCACAAGGGACCAGGGCTGTGTCGGGTGCAGGTACCAGCGCAGTGGGAAACGTCCCTTCCTCTGCCAGCTCAGGCAACCAAGTCCCTCATGAGCCCAGATGAATCTCCCATGCCCATTTTTGCTCGCAGGGGAAAAGGCACTAATTCACCTTGCACTCTTTACTTGATAAATCCACTTTCTTGTATTTCATAAAATGAAGATCAGATCTTGTGGCATCAGTTCCCAAGGGACAATCATTTTTCTGACTGCAGCATCACGCTCGATGTCATGAAAGTGGGCTACAGATAAATGCATTTTTTTATCATTTCAGCATGTAACAGGACTGTGTAGGTACAGTCCACAGCAGAAGTCACTATGCTGCAGCCGCCTGGAAGTGCTGCTTGACTTGGCGAGATGCTTAGAGCATCACAGCAGCAGATCCATGGTTCATACTGAGATTGAGACACTAATTTCCACCTTGCCCCCTCTCCTCAACCTACAACGCGCTGCTACAACTACGTAGACTTGGATAACGTGCTGCTACCATCCTTTCCTGGTGGAGGCAGAAAAAAGAAGGTCGGCCCTTTGTTTACAATTATCCTGCAGGAGAGCATTTGTCAACAGCTTAGATATCACCTGCAGCATAAATATCCAAGCCCAACAGAGATAAGGCCATGTTGTTTAATACCATGATTAAAGATGCCTTACCCCCGAAAGGCAGAGCAGCCAGCGAGCACAGCTCGGCTTGGTAAGCCTTTGAGCATCTGCAGATTAGGAGACGGGAAGTTTGGAGCACGGCTTCCAAAACAAACCCCTTTCTGAGATAGAGATGTTTTATTTTACAAGCAGCAAGTGGTGTTGACAGAGCTTGAAACACTTTCTGTGGGCACGGCTCAGCCCCCAGACCCTTCCAGAGCTCTGACAGGACTGGGTCCCCTCCAGCAGCAGAACAGCAGGTTCCCGTCGGCAGTAGCAGTGAAAACTCCGCTCACGCTGACAATTTTTTTGGCTAAAGCTGTGGGAACAGCAGCCAAACCCAGCAAGATCAGCCTTTCCATAACCCCCTGTAATCTCCCCATCATCCTGTTAGGAAAAGGCCCAGAAGTTTAGTGTCTTTAGCAAAGTCCTTTTCGTTCTCGGATATCCAGCAGCCAGATCCTGTGAAGTGTGGAGAGCAAATTCCCAGCACGGCCCAGATGAAATTACTGTGACATTCATAAGAAACCAAGAGCAACTAGTAGGAAACTCCAGAGCCCAGACAAGGGATTAGACTGGTGCCTTGAGGGGGCTGAACACCAAGGCACCACGCTATGGCTGCAGCGGGTGAAACCCTGGAGTAGTGGTGGAGGGAAGCACTCTATTTATAGCCAAAATTCAGCACACTTGCACATATTTATTGTTGAACACATGCTTCTGTGCTTTCCTGAATGGGGATGAAATGAGGTAGATGTTGAAAAACAAGCATGCGCTTGTAAGCTTTGCTGGCTCAAGCCTTATCCCTTTCCCCACAGCACTCTTCAGCTCACAAGAAGGGAACAAGCCAGCTCCAGTTTTACCCTGACTCCAGTAAAAGCTTCCCTTTCCCCCAGTACAACTCAGTCAAGAGCTAACTGGTCTCAGGCTGCAGCTCACAGGAAAGGACAACTTGTCTACAAGGGGCGTTTGCTTCGTTAGCGGATTTGCCATCAGCAGTTTTCCCTCACCCAGACTTCTCACACTCTCCTCAGTTAAGAGGAGCCACAGCCGGGCATTTAAACTGGTACCAGTTTGTTGCTGCGTTTCTGACAAACCCAGCCCACTGGAGACTTCTCAGTAAATGCAGTTTCCTCCACTCTCTGCAAAGTAATTATTCAAGCGTTTTCCCTGCTGGAGGTGAATCGTTTAGTTATCTCGTGCAAAGCCTTGAATTAAAGGTCTTACTGTCAGTGGTGTCTGAGTTATCACTGCTGATCGAGTACTTGCGTCGTTTTTCTTCCATCTGTAACAAAAGAAATTGAACATTACACTTAATGACCAGGAAACTCATCTCAGCACCAAATCACCGTTACCTCTGAATATCTGCACGCCATGCATCACCCCAACACCAACCAGTACTTACCCTCACCACAGACAACTACCCAGGGGCTTAAGAAAAGGAAGAAAACAATCCTTGCAGGGTTTTTTTTAAAACTTTACAGTTGTCGGTGTTTCTCTACCAGCTTTCCCCACTCCCAGGAGGTACACTGAGTACACTCCGATCGCTCAGCTTTGCATGACAATTTGTCTGTGCAGGATTTACAACCAAACATCCTTCCCTCTGCAAGAGCATCGCTATCGCCACCACAGGATGCCCCACGGCAGAGGATGCCCCACCACGAGACAAAAGACCTCCTGTGAACCACCTCGTCTGGGCGGCACATGCGAGAAGTGCACAGATAGGAGAAGAGAAACTCTGCGCACTCTCAGGATGTCTGCCCAGGAAAGTCCGAGCATTGTGGAGCTGAAGAGGACCCCTGTGTGCAACCAGACCAGGGTTTTACCCTCTGACTCATCTTCCCACTCAGACGGTATCTACTTCTTTGAAGACTTCTGGTGCATCCACTGCCAGCCTCCGCTGGCCAAGCCTGGAGCACGCTTCCCATCACCCAGAGCTGCTCTGCCTGCTCCAGCACAGCCATGCAGCGCCCCTTGCACCGTAGCTCCCCAGGGGGTTGAGCAAGCGGCTTCAGCACAGCTGCTGTAACTTCTCCATCCTCTCGGAAACAAAACCACAGCAGCAGGTATCACCCCACCGATTAGGAGAACTGGAGACCAGTTTCAAGCTCGGCTGCTGATTTGCTTTGAGACTTTGAACAAGCCACAGAACCGCTTGAAATCAGCAGGTAACTCCTGAACTCGCTCCTCAGGAACCAAGCACTTGGAGCTGAAAGTCAAGTACCTGTACCAGTAGGTGCTTTAAAAGAAAAGAAAAAAAAAAAAAAAGATATTTTAACTTTTGAAGACCTCAGTTTACCAACATGGCCCCCCATCCAGGGCTTGGGAAGCTCTGGATAGGAAGGGCTACTCAGGGACCAGGCTGTGAGCTAAAATACACCTGCAGAAAACAATGTTAATCTTGTGGAGGTCATTCTAGTACCTTCTGAGATATTCTGTAATAATCCAAGGCTGTTAACATGGTGTACACACTACTACTTCTGCAAATGATAAGTGGGGATGATAACAAAAGACTGGTTCGGTGTGGTTCAGACACAGCACACAGACTGGACAGCGGGCTAGAGCATGCCCTTTCCACCCAAACAACATGAAAAGTTCATCATAAGCATATAAAACCCTTGCAATGCTTGTATTTGACAATATGCATGCCATGTTTTATCATACCATTACAAGGGATAATACTACAAAGTATCATAAACATTTTAACTACCGGTGTTGTGGTAAGGCATTGCCCTGTCAAAACACGATTAAAAATGTTCCTTCAGAATATGGCAATATCAATACTTTCCCCCAGTGATTTCATGGGGAAACAGATGTTATTAAACCAGCCTTGTTCGAAGTAGCCGTTAGATCGGGGAAAACGATATTGAAGACAGCTCTAACTGCAGTTTACTTACTTTTAGTGGAAATTCTACCTGAACCTTTTAAACTGGTTCCTATTGGTCTGAATTGGCAAACAGGCTTTTGGGGCACAAAGCCGGAGCTATGCTTTTATTGATCCTGGAGTTCCTGGTCACAGAGATTAAATAAGCCAAAGTCAATGGGGAAAAGAAACATCTGAGCTGATGTCAAGGAATGCTACTGGTACCCAGTGGGACTTCCAGTGTTTCCCATCTTTGTCTTTCCAGCAAGGCAGTGTCACTGACACTGCTCTCCTTCCAAGGGAGAGAAAAAAACGTATATGATTAACTCACAGTACAGATGCCAGGATGCTGGGATTGGTTTTGGCTCTGATCCGCATGTGAGAAGATTCCTTTAACTGAACTTGGACCCTGCTCCTGTCCCACACCAAACTACACAACACACATTTACACACTCACTATATAAGAGCATGAATTTATATTCATATAGAGAAGTGGTTCACATTGCAGGTAAAACATTGGGCCTACTTCAGTAAATAATTTTGCCACTGCTTGGCAGGACCCAAGACAGCATTCTCTGAACCAAAGAGCATAAAACTGCTCTGAATGAAATCATGGCTTGAGCAAAATACAGACATCTCTGAAAGGCAACCACTGCCTGAGTAGGGGACAGCACGCCACAGCACGCAAGGTACCACCTGCCTGAAGGGAGCAAAATTTGGGGCTAAAACCACAGGGTTCAACCAGATCTTCTTGTAAAATGCTTAACTTCCAGGCAGTGCCAAGAAGATACTGATTTGAGGGACTCATCTTCTTGAGCAGCCAAGCAGTAGTAAAGCACATGGTGTTCATCAGGTGAATTTACTGTAAAAGGCAGCAATTAGGACAGTTCCCCACCTGGAGCACAGGGTTACAAAGTCTGATGGTGGCAGGGGAAGCCATAGGCTCCCACCAACCCTCCAGCACAGTCCACATCCCTCCCGCTCCCATGTACCCCACAGCGCAAGCTCTCAAATCAGTTGGCGTACTCCTGTGCAATGTGTCCACAAAATATGATCTATGCTCCAAAATTATCTTTTAATTACATGAGAAGCTTTCATAATTTCACCTTCAACTGACCCATTCCCTGCATGGCATCACTACTGAAGTCATAAACAAATAGAAAAAAAATAGTAATACTTTGAAAAGGTCACTGTTAGGTCAAACTTGGCCCAAAAAATCTAGCTTTTACAGAGCCAGAAACCAAGATAAAGGTTCCTATGTGTGCTTGCTTTAAAAATTCAAACAGAAACAGATGTGGGTTTCTTTCATAAACAAATGAACATCCCCCTGAACTGTCTGCAACTCAAATCCACTAATGCCTGGAAACCCAAAAAACAATTGCTTGCAAACCAAGGCAAGTCCAGCGCTGCCTTTGTTCCAGCTGAGAAAGGGAGATCAATGCTAAACCAAGGAAGATGATGGTCCTCCATCAGCCTAAACAAATGTAAATCACCCGGGTTTTGGACAAATTAGCCACAGGATTGGCGGTAAAACTGAAATGATGGCCTCAGGCTGCCTGGTCCGGCCTCACAGCAGGGAAGGGCTGAAGAAAAGCTTTTGGAGAGGCAATTTTGCCCAGTCAATGCAACCTGGGAGAAGTGAAGGCAGCAGCCCTCCAAGATGCGTATGCCCAGATCCTGAGCTCCTGTCCCAACTGGACTCTCCTCACTGCATCCACCTTTCCATACACAATAAACCAAAATGCCTCATCCAGCCCTTCAGCCAACCAACAGGGGCTTCCGACAAACACCTCGCCCTCCCCAAACCTCTCCAGGATCCTTGTGCTCTGGGGAATCTGCTGACGTTTCCCAGATCCCTGCAAACATCAAGTCCAAGTGGGATCTGGAGCTTCTGGTGGCATCACAGCACCATGTGCTGGGGCTGTTTGCAAGAATGAACCGTTCTGGACCGTGGCAAGCAAACTAGAGAAATTCACCCATGTCTGTGCACACAGGGAACAGACAGAGAAACCTGCAGAAGTTGCAGTTAAAAAAAAACAACAACAAAAAAAACCCAAAACGTATTTGATCATCACCTCTTCCCAGCGCCCATCCGCACGCTAAGGGATGCACTGCGCTCGGTCCCCCTGCGCTGTCACCTCAGACGCTGTGACAGTTGAGCAACACCGGCTGAATTCTGTGCTCTGTTTGTGAGCTGCAATGAGACTGCAGAAAAACCACTTCCCTGTTTGTTCTTCCAGCACAGAAATAGGAACACAAACAGAAACGAGTGCCCCCAGCGGCACACACACCGCTCCGGCCAGCCCGGACCCCGCTCCCATGGACCCCAGCTCCCAGAACCCTTGTCCCATCGCCTGTGCCCCGGTGGGTGACATGGAGAAGAGGGGCAGCCCATCCATGCTCCCCCTGTGCATTAACTATTTCTTTGCTCTGTCTAGGAATACCAGCAGGTTGTTAGAAAGTATAAGAAGGGTGGAGGGCTGGAAAGTCCCAGCCTTTACAGGGTAGGTAGGAGGGCTGTCCTCATCAGATTGCCTTTTCTCCTTAACAATTTTTAAGCAAAGCGCTGCTCTGGGAGGTTCTGAGAGAGCAGCGGCATCCCCCGACACAGGCACAGCCCCAATTTCACAATAACAAAAGAGCAAACTTTTTGACCGAAGGATGCACACAAGCTGTGCCAACACACCCTCTGCAAACCTTGGTGCACAGCCCCTGCACCTCAGGGGAAGTAGTGCTGTTCTTTTCTTAACCTTCCTGGCAACTCTACAAAGTGTCAGTCCAGAAAGCCACAGTCCTGGTACCCAGAACACTCAAGTTTTGGCCAGTGGGAGCCTGTCCCTGCCAGCCAGGGCTTGCCTGCCCCCCGTCTCCTCCACCGGCTGCTGTCAGCTCCTACATCTTCAGGAAAACTCAACTGCTCAGGTGAAGAGTGCCATTCCTCCTCTCCTCCACAGCAACTCTGCTTGCTGGCTTGATTCCCTGGGGCAAAACCTAATCTCATTTAAATTTTAAACAAAACAAGCCCTCATTTACTTCCTGTGCTTTGCCTTTTTCCACTTTTTTTTTCCTCTTTACTACTCATATTTATAACTTTGCTTGCCTCTTCTGACTTGTTACCCTCTAATTATCCAATTTTTTTTCTGCAGCAAGCCCAGACAGAGCGTAGGTAATCAGAAAGGTTACTGCAGGCACTCGGGGCCACCCCTGCCTTCGGGCAAGAGAGCAGCCAGGGAGCAGGCAGGGACAAAGGGCACAGGCAGGGACACGGGCACGGACACAGGGCATAGCTCCTCATCCACAGCCGGCTGCCCTATCCTGCAGGTCTCGGAGCATCCGCAACTCAGAGGAAAATCAACAGGAGCTACGGGCACTCCAAACTTGGTACCAAACACCCAGAGAAAGGCAAAGACCAGACCTGCTTT